CCCCCCCCCCCCCCCCCCCCCCCTTTGCATATTGCTGCATATTTCTATCATCTCTTTCCAGGCACAGTTCATAAACACGGCTGCATAATAAAGAATGTTATCGCCAATGACTTACAGCCCAGCTGCTGCAAATAAGATATGAAGTGGCAGGGAAATACAATTTCATGCAGCTAGGACAACAGATTGATTGGGTGCCCTTCAAATTTGATGCCACTTCTTCAAGTCTGTCCAAATTCAAAAAAAAAAGTTAGTTTCCCCACCTCCCCATCTTTCCATGGTAGCAACAGACAATAAAAGTGGGAGATAATTCACTAGGACACTCATTATGTCTGCATCAACCTTGCCCTGAGAGATTGACAATTTAAAGAGATGCGCTGCTTTTCTCTGCCACCTCCTCTACTTTTCCGCAGCCACCTTCCTTCATCAAAAGTCTTATTGCTCGAGTTTGGTTGCCTGTTTAATTTAATTATCTTCCTTTCAAATTATTATTTGTTCAGATTGCTAGCCAGAAGGCTGTTATAGATAGAGACAAGCCAAAACCTTACTTTTACCACTGCCACCTCCAAAATGTTGTTGTTATTTTTATTTATTTTTACAGAACAATATGAAATGCCTGCCATAGCATTTCTATCAAAGAACACACCAGTAAGGACAAAAAGAGGTGCCTTTCTAAATTATTCTTTCCCCACTGTCATTGATGGGTTGGCCTTTAAGGATCCGGAGCTCTGTTTTGAAGGTTGATCTGAACGTGGAGAGATCACCTTGTAATCTTGCAGCACCAAAATACAATACAATATGACAAGGCCCAACCAGCTGCTAGATGGGCTGTGCTGAGGTTGTCTCTGCTTCCGCTGGAGAGAAATTCTTTAGATGCACACAGAGATGACCCCATACACATCGGTACAGTTCAAGCTTTCTCTCCTATACCCAGTTCTCCTTTCTTTCCTCTTCCTTCTCCCTAATATATTAATAGGGGCCTACTGGATTCTTCTGCTGCATCCTTGTGTGTTACTCAGTGAAAACGGCCAGTGCCCTACATGTGCCTCCCTCTTCGAGATAGTTCTTGTCGTCTCACTTGTGTGGCTTCCCCTCCTACCTGGATAGTACCTGCATATCAGTCCATGAGGCATACCAACTCTTAAAGCCTTCACATAGATATTCATGTTCAATTGCTAGGTTGTGGAGGGAATACTTTCCAGTTTCTATCAAGTTTCTTCAACATTAAGAGTATCTGAAAGAGGAAACTCAGTGTCTCTCTGCTACTTTAACAAATGGGGAGCATTGACTAGCAGATAGAGCAGAGAACCTGAAGATAACAGGATCCGTGTTTTTCCTAGGCCTGATAATACTTAATTTGTATTTAATATTTAATTCTGCAAAATGCCATTGCCTCTCAGTTCCTTCTTTCTCGCCTGTAAATTCCAATAATGACGTGTATA